ACAAGCAACCACAGTCACTCCACAGTGGCGCGCGCATGCGTCACCATGCCACAGCAGATAAGAGTTGAACCCTTCAGAAGACAGGGTGCAGAGAACTGGACAATGCAGAAAAGGGAAGCTCATATGCGTCACGAGGAACTACGGGCTATTTTGAGTGCTTGCATGTTTGTTTATGCGGGACGCCGTACTTGTTCCGCGAGCCTCCTCTGGGACCAGCCGTTCACGTTTCTTCTGCCTGCTAGTTGCAGTGCACACTGAACGACGAGGAAGATCACGACCGTTGCGACCATCGCGTAGGAAATGATATGCAAACTCCGGTGGGGCATCCGGCTTTTGCGACTTATCATAGGCGCAGTGAAGCCGTGGTCATAGTCCAGCATGTACGTCTTGACAGCTCCATCTTCTGCAATGCCTGCGGGCCCCCCACACATGTTCTTCAACGCACGCTGTCAGGTGGCAGCAAGTCTGAATTGGTCCACCAGTTGAACGAAGGGGAGATGTCGCCACCGCAGACGACAAAGAAACGGCTACACGAGCAGGCCTGACAGGACGCTCACGAAATAAACAACAACCCCCAAGTGGTATGAGGGGACGCTCACCTTGCGGCAAAATATCCGAGGATTGCCCAAATTCCAGATCCATGGGGAGTTGGAGAGGAGAACGATCTGTCACCTTCTGAACTGCGTCGAACGACCAGTGAATGCAGCACTAAATTTGGAAAAGAATTGCGAGATCCAAGTGAAGCATGTCTGAACAATCGATAAATTTTAAAAGAGCCCCGAAGAACGGGCTGTCATACCTCAAGAATTCCTCCAGTACAGCTCTCCATATGCTTTAATAAGCTGCCGCTCCTTGAACAAGACCGGTGCTACCGAAACCAAGGCAAATTGTGTGGCTTGTTGAATTTTTCCAAAGTGTTGGTGAAAGGATCTACAAGCCGTAGATCTCCTCACAGCGGGAACTGCCTCTACGATCTGTGGGTGCACTGAAAGTACACTTGTAGCAATAAGCTCCAGTCAACAATGAGGAGCAAAGGCAAGTTTAAAGGCATTGGGTCAGGACGATGCGCGGTTCTAGGGTCAGGGGGTTAACCTAGCACGGAGCGTGATACCTAAAAACCCTGGAACGTGAACCGACAGCCCACGTATTTTCGCGGACTATGGGCAACAGAACTTTGTACCCAGCCAGTTAATGAATGCTTAAACACCTGAGAGTTATGCGAAGTGGTGCACCTCGAGGAGATGCAGCGACGACTCCCCCCATCGAAGCTTGCGGCAGCTGATGCCGAAGGCCTCGATGCGACAGCTTCAGTATGTCGGTAGCAGCTACACTACGAGTGACCCATTAGATCACACAAGGGCCCCCGCATACCTCTCATTATTTACGCACTATTAAACCTCTTAGGGAGCTCAATTCGTTACATATAAGACAAACTGAATTGCTTTCATCGTTTTTGTTGGATCTGGACGGGAGGCGTCAGTGATTGCAAACAGTGCGTCATGCTCAGGGGTGCTGCAGGGCAGTCCAGGAAACACTGAAATTCCCGGAACCTATTGGCGCACCCTATTATTTTACCAACTATAATTATAACTTTGCAAACTAATGAGGGAAAGGGTTGTTAGTAGGCGTAGAATCCTGGCGAACAGAGAAGCAACGCACCCGTAGCCGCACTCGCGCCAGGTGTATGGAGTTGGAACGATAGATCACCAGGGACACACGATAAACTCTTGTTGCGGATGTATGGAGACCAAACTAGAGCTTATTCATGTTCAATGTTCATAGAAAATCAATGTTAATCGATGCTCTGGAGGTATGAACCGCAGGACACGAGGGTCCACGCAAAGACCCGAAAGTAGTTTTCAGATCCTGCCCTACGACGCCTGCACTCACCTGACAGGCAAGTTGCCGGTGCGAGCGGGAATCCACTCAAACGGATTACCGTATCCCGGCCAAAATAACATGTGAAGCTCAATGTTGAACTAACTGACTGCCAATTAGACTCGTTCTCGTTGCGGGGTTAAAATAATAGATACATAGTAGTTGAACGCACTACACAGTGTCTCTAGCCGTCTCCAAACTGAAGCCGATGCCCACACACACAGCTATCCACCCTATTATTACGTTGCTTTATGAACGTCGTTTATTCTTGTGTCATGAATCTCAACGTATATTACATGCTTCGCTCTACGGCCCAAAGCAAGTAAGCCGCTGATGCCACTATATGCCTGGCTGTAGTGCCGCGAGCACTACGATGTCAGTGGCTGCCCGCGTCCCCGCATGGGAAGTCGGTAGCATCATATACTTTATCGGTTAAAAGCGGAATAAGTACACATTATTTAGTCTGGAAGGCCAGGTCTTGAGTAGACCTTAATAGCGGGTGTTAGTTGGTGACATAAGGCGCGAATGGAAGAGCGAACCGCTGGATCTGCGACCGGCCGCCGGGTGTGGGAACGTTTGGTGTCGAGTGGTCGTCCGGACCGGGACAAGGGTGAGCCAACACCAGCAAGAACGAGTACACTTTTTCGACAACTGT